TAGATCTGTAAATTAAATTTTGGTAGACCAATCTAACTAAAACTGGTAGACTTAAGGACCCCTAGGGCTAAATATGAGAGACCAAAAGCTGAACAATGGGACAGATTTCAGGAGACCTACATGTACATGTACATGTACATGTAGACCAAATATGGGAGACCAGAAGTCTCCTAAACTCCCTCTAAATCTAACAGTGATTATAATAAAATTTTGCATTATTACCAATATTTTATTGATTTATTTATTTATTTATTTATTATTATTATTATTATTATTATTATTCTAGAGACAGCATTTGCTAAGACTGGGTGTCCCTGCTCAGTTCATTGCTCTATCATTAGATGAGGGACCTGGCCCAGCCCTCAGGTCTCCTTATGCTGATATCTCTCGTCTTTATTCTGTTGTCAGTGTCTTAGTGAGGTCTTGTGATGTGTCTATTATACAGAGGAGCTCCAAAGAAGTATATTAATAATAATAATAATAATAATAATGATTATTCATTAATATATTATTAATCTGTTACTGTACTCCAGGGTACTGAGGTATTACCTAATCCTTATGCTGATCCTGAGTTGTGTGAGAAACTATCAAATGATCTTCTACACTGGCTCTATGAGAGAACTAGGTATAATGTACTATTAATATTAATTATTATTATTATTAATAATATCAATTATTAGTATCCAGCAGAGTACTACTTATGTTAAGAAACTGATTGAGGACAATAGTCCGATTGAGGAGACACTCCGCTTCTTAGGGGTGCGTTGCCATGGGAACTGTACATGTATTACATGTAATTTTCAATTTTAGTTTTGCTCGTGGGAAAATTGGGAATTTTCGGCTGTCGTGATAGCAGACCTGCTAATGGAGGTGAGGATTAGTTATTAATAGTTATTAGTAGTTATTAATGGTTATTAATACTTATTGATTAATTAATGGTTATTATTAGTTATTAATAGTTGTAGTTATTAATGTTTATTAGTAGCTATTAATAGTTATTAGTAGTTATTAATGGTTATTAATTCTTCACAGATTGCTACAGTGCAACCTTTTGATATGAGACCTTATCTTGATCTACTGTACCACCTACTAACAATGGCAGACTCATGGCAGCACACCAGAATAAGAGCAATGTTCTTAGGTGAGGACATGCACAGACTAGCCTCTGTATAATGGACACTGTGTCTCTGTTATACAGAGGTGTCCTTTATGTGGAGGTTATTTTATACAGTAAGGAATGTAATTGGTACACTAGGTGCTGTCCGTTAAATGGAGGTGTACGCTATAGAGAGTGTCCATTAAGAGAGACTATACTGTACATGTACATGTATATATTGATCCTATTCTCCCTCCACAGGTCTACAGGATAGAGTGGATGGGATGATGACGATGATACAACACGGACAGACTCATGTGGTACAGCAGAAAAGAGCTTATCTCTGTATCAAGTTTATTATTAACTTATGCTCAAGGTATAATATAATAATAATAATAATAATAATAATAATAATAATAATAGTAATAATAATAATAGTAATATACCATATAGCGGGTTTTTGAGGATAATATTTTTTGCAAATGGCCTGTATCCGGATCTTCACAAAATTAATTTTCACGAATTACCACTATTCTGCCATCTTGTACCATATTAAATTGTTTTTCAAGGAATTTAATTTTGCAAATCTTAAAAATCCACAAAATTAACAAAATTTGTTATCCTCAAAAAAACCACTATACAGTAGTACAATTATACATGTATAGTACATGTATAATTTATTGACACATTTAATAACATTAATTGTTATATTGTTAGGTGTCAGTTGACAATGGTGGTGTTAGATGAGGATGTTCATTTGAAGAGGTTGTGGCAGTTCTCAATCCAATGGCTACAGAATGAGCTTGACAGAAGACAATACACCACATCAACTTACCCATACACTGGATGGTCACCTCCTGCACAGTCCAATGAAGTATCTAACAGGTTAATAATAATAATAATAATAATAATAATAATAATAATAATAATAATAATAATAATAATAATAAGACTAGTACATGTAGCATTTTTAACTGATTCCAATCAAATTTAGTTTTTTTATGAATTTTTAAAGTTGCTCCCAAATTGGGATAAAGTTCCTGTACTATAGTACACAGCCTAGGGCCAAATTTCACCAAAATTGAAAAGGAGAGAATTCTCAACATTTTAAATTTTCCTGATATATATACATGTTCTAAGCTGTGTATCAACTTTGAACTGATTCTGACAAAATTTAGATTTTTATAAATTTTTTAAGTGGCTCCAAAATCAGGCCAAAGTCCCTGTACATTGTCTCAGACCAAATTTTGCCAAAATTGAAAAGGAGAGAATTATCGATTTGTATTACCATTATACATGTACATGTTCTTATGTTATTATTATTTTCTAGTTATTTCCTTGAGAGGTCCAACAGTGCTAAGATGACATTAAGTAGAGCAAGAGAACTGTTTCCTATTGAAGTAATCATTAATGAATATACTGATTGATACTGATACACACTGATTCATACTTGATTCACACTGATTCTATATTGATCCCTAGGTTGAGCAGTTTGAGTCCAATATAGAATCAACAGAGACCAGTTTTGATCAGTCGTCAAGTTTATTAGAAAAAGATAATAATTCTTCTCTCCCCATTGAGGGGGAGGTAGGGGGTCCTGAGACTACTGAAATTATTGATTTTGAGGGGGAGAGAGGGGGGCAGGGGGAGGAGGGACAAACTGATTTAACAGAAAATAAAATGGTCCACACTGACTTAGACTAATAATATTATTAAACTTATTTAAAAGTAACTTTTAGTGAGGGAGGGAGAGAGATATTGTTTGTGTTTATATTAGTTTGTTTACTTGTTTTTCTGTTGTTGGTGTTTACCTGTTTTTTGTTGTTGTTTGTAAAGTTGTGTACATTTAAATGTGTGACACATGTTTATCACACTATCTGTGTTTAATCTGTGTTGTTGTTATTAATTGTATTGAAAGTAAAATAGTTGATAAAACGAAATGAAAAGTGTCGTGACTGTCGTCACAAAAGCATGCAAGTGTCACAATGACGTTATAAAACGGCACGTGATCATTTATTATCTATATATAGAGCAGTTTCAGTGACGTCACCTTTTGACGTCATAATTACTTCCGTATAGCAAAAATTGATGAGCCTCACTCGTTTATAGACCCCTAGGCGCTAAGATAATTTTCAATGAATATGATTACAACATAGATATAATACACGGAACAGGATTAGAAACAGGATCACGTGAGCGCATTATACGTTGAAACACTCCTAGTTATGCCGGGAACTGGTCCCGTAATGGAGATTTAATTTTTAATTTAATTTTTAATTTAATTTAATTTAATAAAGTTTTACAGGACAAACACAAAAATTAAGGGACGAAAAATAACAATTAAGGCACAAAAAAGAGAGTTGTCCTGAAGGAAGGCCAAGAACTGGTCTGGCCCCCAGCAAACAAACAAAGACACACACAAAAATAAAATAAAATTATAATAAACATAAAGCAGAAATGAGAAGAGAAATAAGACA